GGGAAGGGGAAAAAAAATAAGAACCAAGAGACTCAAGTAATGGTACAAGATCCCAATGATGAATGTAACTGTATTGTATACCTAAAATGTACCAATAAAGTTAATGGGGGGGGAAACAAAAAACAATATTCATATGAATATATGCAAATTCTATAAATCTTTTTAAATGTTAGCAATTGTCAAAAGAATTTAAGAGCCTACTTGAAAAGACTCCTGCCAGCCAAAGATGGAAAGCTTAAGCATCAATAAGGGTAAGAACTACAATGGATTGAAACCAATCAAATATGTTTAATTTTTTGACAATTATTTAAGACCTTTATTAACAGGTGCTTGCAGTTTCTTGACTTTTTTTAATCAAGTTGTAAACTTTTATTACAAATTAGAAATTAAGTTCTTAAAAATCTCAACTTGACCAGATATGAAACAATTTAAAAACCTTTAAGGGTAGGGCCGGGGATTTAGCTCAGTGGTTCCACCACCTCCTCACAAGCGCAAGGACCCGAGTTCGATCCTTAGTACCAAAAAAACAAAAAATAAAAACCTGGGCTGGGGATTTAGCTCAGTGGTTCTGCCGCTTGCTTTGCAAGCACAAGGTCCCAAGTTCAATCCCCGGTACCAAAAAAAAAAAAAAAAGTCTACTCACATGAAACGAATTCACAGGAATTATGACAATAATAATAATAATAATAAAAACCTGGGCTGGGGATGTAGCTCAGTGGCACAGCACCTGCTGGCAAGTGCAAGGTCCTGAGTTCAATCCCAGGTACCAAAACAAAAACAAAAAGAACAAAAACCTTCAGTGGTTCAATATTGCTTAGAGAATAAAATACAACTTCCTAGTATGGCATTGAAGTCTATCTGCACGTGGCTTTCAATTTTCCACTACTTACTTTCCCTTAACTGCTGCCATACATACAACCAGGATAGTGGATTGATTTTGCTCCCTGAAAATGCTCTATAATATTTTGTTTGATTCCTTTGCTCAGTGCTTCCTCTAGCTGCATCATTTCCTCCATATCCCATACCACCACACCTGCTAAAATCCCACTTATCATCCATACCTAGCTCAGGTACACCAGCCACACATAATTCTTTCCTTCTCCCAAACACATTACATGATGGATCCCTAGAATATATCAAGGACAAAAGATCCACTGAAACCAAAGTAAAAAGTATGCCCTCACATAGCCATTCTTTAAGACCACAGGACAGCACCTTCAGATCTTACATATCTCTTGCCTGGCACATCGGTTCTGTGTCCTCTGCCTGCTCGCTATTCTCCCACACAACTAGAAGATATTCCTATTAATATGAAAACTGCTACCATTTAGTAAGTTTTTGCCATATATCAGCCACTTTGCCAAGTGCTTTATATACATTATCCCATTTAACCCTTATAATTCACAGGTTATGAATTCATCCATGTTGAAAAATTTAAAAGAGGTAAGTGACTTTCCCAGAGTTACATGACTAGTAAATAGGACTTTTGGTACACGAAGCCAGGACCATCTGAATCTAAAGCTTGCAGTCTTTGCACTAAGTTGTACTGGGGCTCAGTGATTGCCTTGATTTTGAGGTATTTTTGCTATAGAGAAACCAATGGAGATTAGGACCAAAACCAGAAAAAAGAGCATGAATGACTCTAAGCTTTAAAGGGAAGAAATGTGGTTGGTCTTTAAATTTTTTATACTGTCAATAGAATTCACCAAGATAAAAAGAGAGCTAATGATCAAGAGTAGAACTCCTACTGGGAAGAAGACCAGAAATTAAAAAAAAAAAAAATTCAGATACATTTGGCTTTACCTGGGCTTATATCTTTTGAGAATCTAAACAAAGCAACCAGCAATAGGTAAAGGTACAAATGTGTAGATGCTAATGGAAAGCTAATATGTGAAACTGTCAACACAATGGAATCCTAAAATCTCAGAGCCACAACTGAAAAGCCATCTTCCCTTCTGCATTGAATTAGTTCACCAAGGAAGCATCTTTCAACAATGGAAAGCCTATTAAATAACAGAAGTTTAAAAAATAAGCTTTATCACTTTATTAGTCTTTCCAATTATACTACTTAACATACACTAAGTTTATACTAATCTAAGAAATAGAAGAAATCTGAGGACCAAGCTATGCAGAAGTAGCCCACGAACCAGACAGGCAGAGGGACCCAGCAGAGACTGGCAGAGCCTTTTAGTCATCACATTCCACTAGAAACTCCCAGATGAAACCAGATGAAAAAGCACTTCAACAATGCCCCTAAACAACTGCTGGAACCACAAACTCAGAAACACGGCAAGGTAAGTGACGTGGGCATTTCTATTAGCACTGATATGATACTTTTATTGGCAACATAAAAGGGATTTGGGGATAACATGTCAGTCTTGACTCTTAGCCATAAATAAAATAACAGCTTTATTATAATAGAATACCATGGAGGTTTTTTGTGTGTGTGCAATTATTTCTTTGAAGACACCAAGGAAGGGAGAAAATTAACAACTTCTAAAACCAAGACGCAGGGGAAGAAAAGCCCAGAATTTAGAAAAGTTGAAGGATGAAATGACATTTGTGTGAATGTGTGTTGTTTATATGGTTGGTGACATCTCCATCTATGTCATTAACATTAATAGAGGCACTGAATATCTGTGGAAAACTGAATGTGGACTGTTACACTTACAAGCTTATCCTCATACATAAGTTAAATCATAGTTAAATATACTAGGTATTTGCTGTGTGTCTACAAATATCTTCAATATCTTCTTGAGGGTAAAGAATATTTCTTTTTTCTCCCTAGATGCTTCAAGGTACATAGCATAAATGTTCATAACTGAACATTTGATAAATGTTGATAAATAACCTTGATGTTCTGCTTTCCAGTCACAAGTAGTATTATTTTCTGGTTGAGAATTAGATCAGAATCACATAACAATTAACTTTTTAAAAATTAAAGCCTATGGTTTAGGTTTGAGTTATATAAGGCTCAGAACCAGACAGTAGCTGTTGTTTTCTCCTGCAAGGATTCCAGTTAAAACTATACCCTATTTCCACACTCCCAAAAAAGCAAACTTTGCATGATTTGAGGACAATGAGGAACAGGAGAATAGAGAGGAATGTAAAACCTCAGAGAGCACTAATGGCTAACCATCAGACTTAGACAGGGCCATGATTTTATTTGTTTGTTTTTCTTTTTTTAATGGTTATTATAGGAAAAATTCAAATATATCTAAAAGTAGAGGCACTGATATAATAAATTCCCATATGCCCATTAGCCAGTTTTAAAATGTATTAAAACAAGGCCAATCTTATTTTCTCTATAATCCTTCCCTACTATTCCTTCCAGATTATTTGGAAGCAAATCTTAGACATCAAAACATTTCATCTTTAACATGCTCAGTGTATAGCTCTAAAAATGCAAGAACACCCCTTTTTGAAATTTAACCTTACATTCTCCCAAATCAACAATATTTCAATAGGACCATCTTTGACTTTGAAGGAGACCCAGTATTCTGCTGTAAAAATTTATTTTTGACTTGCAACACATAACAAAAGTAATAAAACATTAATTATATAATTCTTTTAGCTATTTAGCCTGAGAAAATAATTCAGGTGATATAGGAAGAAAATAATCAACTAGTTATTTAAAGTTCTCATTAGAACTTTTTGTGATAGTGAAACAATTAGGGATTTATTCAATGATGGTAAATATATGGAATAGTTTACATAACAAATAAAATGTTTATAAAACTAGCAATATGGTATTTGAAAGAATTTTATTTACACTACTACTACCTTGTTAAAATATTTACACATGCAAATTTTAGAAAAGCATAACTAAAACCAAAAATAATTAAAATAGTAAGTTTATGGGTTCTTTTCCTCCTCTATTTTAGGAAGTCTGTATATTTGTGACAATAATCTTACACTGAAAAATACTTTGTTTTACAAACATTTCATTTTTTATTTCTCCGTGTTGTAATTCTACCATCTTTCAGAACACAAATCCCATGTCACATTCTCCATGAAGCTTCCTGTAACCACCTCAAATATTCTGTCTCTTTAAATTCCTATAGCACTTGGAAGACAATGCACCACTGTTATTCACAGACGTATCCTGAAAAGTTTTATCTGAAATATGAAATCAATACACATTTTGTAATGTGAAAAACAAAATCAATTATATAACATCACTAAATAAATCTTAACTTTTAGACATAATCATACATATATTTCTAGCAGTTTTTATATCTTCTTTAATTATGAATGTTTACTTCCTAGTTCAACAGAATTGACAAGGTTAGGTCCAACTAGCATCCTTTTTAAGCTTATCTTTGTTTCTATTAACACTTTCAGATTTTCCCTTTTAATTTTTATTAAATAACAAGTAAAACCTTTGTTTTAGCAACAAAACTTTGTCATCAAAAATTTTACCCATCTGGGCTGGGGATTTAGCTCAGTGGTTCTGCCACCTGCCCCACAAGCGCAAGGACCTGAGTTCAATCCCCAGTACCAAAAAAAAAAGAACAAAAAAAATTTTACCCATCTAAGACCAAAAGTGAGAACTAGAAAGCACAATTACTTTAGCAAAGGCTTAAGTGAAGCAGGAATTCCAGAGCTCCTCCTGCTGGCTAACTATTGCTCCCTCATCAGCCTGCTCCAAGACTCTATTCCATGGAGCACTACAGTAAAATATTCAAATAACAGCACACACTGCATCAAAGTGGATAGTAACTCCCCTGAAGGAATTTTTTTCTCTGATTAGATGAACCATTATGGAATAATTTAAATTATATAAAAGTTCAAATTTTCCATGCAAAGATGTTGTTAATGACAGCTGCATTAAATACACTGCTGAGCTCCTTGGTAATGCCGTGGTCTTTAAAAGTGACTAGGTCATCACTGAAAATGTAATAAAATGGGGGCTAGCACATGGCCTAGAATGCCTCTCGGGCACAGTGTTATATATCATTAGTAAGACATCAGTTGAAGTTCACCCTGAGTAGCAATCATGAAATTTAAGAAGAGTGATTCCAATTTCAGGTCATTTGTTTTGCTGGATGCAGTAACTAATTTGTGATTCAGAATTAAATTATTAAGGGCAATAATAGAAATATTGCACACTGCCAACTATGGCTCTCCATGTGGAATCTAATCCCTCCTTAATTATCAAGCACATATTTAAGGAAATTGATTTGAAGGAGTATGAATAACCTTCCCTAGATGACCAGACTGTCTCCCTCTGGCCATGGTGTTAGTGGCACAGCACCTGCCTGGCAAGTGTGAGGTCCTGAGTTCAATCCCCAGTACCAAAAAATAAATAAAAATAAATAAATAAATAAATAAAATCTGAATTTACAAAACCAAATACCAACAGTTCTTATAACTTTGTAAGACAAATAATTTTCAACTGGACATTATACTTATAAATCTATCTTAATTTCCTAATAAGATTAGACATTCCAAGAAAGCAGGCATCGTGTGTTTTATTGTTTACGTACTTTACCGAGCCGAGTGTACTACCTTGCATGTAGTAAATTACTACCTATTAAACAAAGTGTGCCAAAACTCAAATTATGACAATTTAGTTTAAAGATCTTAATTGGCTTTATTTGTAATCCTCTAATAAGGCAAGATCTCATTCTATAAAACAGAATAAGCAGGTTTGTTTGGGTTTTTTGGTATCGGGGATCAAACTTGGGTCCTTACACTTGCAAGGCAGGCAGCTTAACCACTGAGCTAAATCCCTGGCCCTAGAATAAGTGTTTCGATGAGCTGAGCAGAGGTAGTTGGTTTTACTAATAGAAAAAGACTTAAAAAAGCAGAAACAGAACATAAAACAGGTCATTTTAAAGTTACTTTCTTTTTAAGAAACTCGCCTGTTCGGAAAAATGAGATTTTTCTCTCTCTTGCTCTCTCGGAAAGTCAGATCGCACCTTAGTTTTGGTTTGATGACAAAGAGTTTCATGTCTTAGTGACTATTTTGAGATTCTTTCAGGTTTTTTTTTTTTCTGTTTCTTGGAGCCTAATACACGTGCTTATTCCAAAACAATGGATTTCTAAAAGTGTTATTTAACACCTGCTCTTCCAAGTTCACATGTCCAAAACATAATTCAATGGTTTCACCTTCAATCTCCACTTCTCCTCTTCCTAATTCTCTAGCACTTCTTAGTGGAAATAATCTTGAATTGTATTCAGTATTGGAGCCCAGATCTGCCTGAGCAGATTTGGTGGCAGGCTTGCAGATCTATTTTCCTAACTCTCTCTAGTTCCTACCCCAAGGGGAAAAAAAAAGAACTAGCAAGATAAGTGTTATGGCTTGTGTTTAGATGTCCCCCCAAAGCCTCATATGGTCATGGGTGGGGCTTTTTCAGAGGTGGCTGGATCTAGAGTGTGTGATGCTGGAATGGATTCACGGTGCAATGCTAGGCTCAAGGGCACTAGGATGAAGGGCGTGAGTGCTGCCTTGCTCTAAGCAGTCTGGACAAGATAAAAGCAGCAGAAAGACACTGTTAAGGTCCCTCGCTTGCTTGCTTTTGCTATCTTCTATATGCAATGAACTGTTTCTCCTCTGCAACACTCCTCTGCCATGTGCCACTTTGCCTTGGAGCCAGAAGCTATGAACTGAAACCTCTACAAACTGTGAGCTAAATAAACCGTTCCCCCTTTAAGGTTGGGTGTCAGGTATTTTGTCTCAGTGATGAGAGAAGAGTAACTAAGACAGAAGCCTAACTCAAGGAAAAGTTCTTTCTCATTAAAAGGAAAAATTATTCTGAACACATCATGATATCTCTAATTCCAACTTGTTACTGGAACAAAATCACAGATTGATGTCTAGATCCTAGACTGCAAGTGCTAGGGTATTTAAAAGTGTTTTTTAAAAAGGTGCTTTTGTAGTTGAAAATGTACCATGTCTTATTTCTGTTAAGACCAAATCTTTGCCATCAATTTATTAGCTACAAGGGCCAGGGATTTAGCTCAGTAGTTCTGCTGCCTGCCTCACAAGTGCAAGGTCCCGAATTCGATCCCCAGTACCAAAAAAAAACATTAATAATAATACTAGCTACTATTTCTTCTTTTATTATCTGTTCAGCGTTCACTGCGCATTTAGCTATTATATCATACTGCTTTTAACAATAAAAACCTTTAAAATTGTTTTTTACATTTTTATTGCCTTTCCCCAGTTTGTCTTCGGTTCTTTTTACATGATCATCTTTGTTGGGCAAATTTTTGCATGAGATTTCTCTCCATTGGCTTTAGGTTTAGGAAATCCTCCCCCATGAAGACATCTGGAAATTATTCACTTTCTTCTATCTATTTTATCATTAAATTTTTTACATGTTTTACCCTAATAATTTCTGTTAACTTTTAACTCCAAAGATTAGCCCATTATATCAACCATTTATGAGATTCGGCATTTATTTAAGAGATGGAAGGGTCTGCTTTGAGGACTACTTTGTTTTATGAATCCACTTGCCCTTGCACATCTACATTACTATTTCATGATGTCTTAATATGGGGGATGGGGTTCTTATCATTACTGTTCCTGAACATGATGTAGTCTTGCCTGTTAAGTCTTTCAGATATATTTAACAATTAATCTGTGAAATTGTGATACAATATTCACTTAATTGAAAACAAACTGACCGTGCGGAAGTACTAGTCTCCTGTCCTGGAGGGTGTTTCATATTTCCATTTCTCTGGAGGTACAGAGAAGCATACACCTTTTCAGAAAGCTATGCCTTCATATAATCATAGATGCTAGAGAAACTTTCCAATTTCTCAGGGTAAGAAAAATAGTTCTCGCCTAAGTAACTGAATAAGGATGCAGTTGACTGCCTTCTGGATTCAAAGTCAGAAACGAGTTTTATTTCATAATATCTGAAAATGAGGAAAAAATGGAGAAAGAGAGTTTAACGAAAATTTCTGGAAGAAAAAAAAGGACTCAAAATCCAAATTTGTGCTTATCAGATTGCAATTTGCAATCCATTGGAAAGTTTGGGGAATACTGAGTAGATCCTTGACAAGCAATTTTTAAAAATGGAATAGAATTAGAAATTTTTCCACATATTGTTTTGTGGAAATTTGTATCTATTGTGTGTTTGTGCATATGTGTGTGTACACATGCTATATCCGAAGAGAGGATAAAGTGAATTTGTGTCCATGGTAGTTCATTCTATCAGGGAGTTCCAGTACATTTTTCTGAATGTACAAATAAATGGCTATTTACTGTGCATTTCTAATCCATTTTAGAAACCATTTCTCCTTTCAAATTCCAAATTACATCTTTAAGACCTGGAGGTTAGGGTTTTTGTGTCTGTGTCATTTCTGGGTTGGTTTTGTTAGTTTGTTTATTTGTTTTGGATTTTTGAGACAAGGTCTCCCTGGCTTTGAACTCACTAGTATGTAGCCCAGGCTGGCCTCAAACTCTCAATGATCTTCCTGCCTTAAGACTCCCAAGTGCTGGGATGACAGGTGTGTGTCACCATGCCCCACTTAAAGATGTTAGACATGAAAGATGTTCTTAGACATGAAAGTCTAAGAACCATGTGCTAGAATAGATAGGTCCCAAATTAATCAGGATGTTGATTACTCAAAGAGAGAATATTTCAGATCCCTCACAGACAGAAGACTCCATGGTTTTTTTTTCATTTTTCATACAGGTTTAACAGAAAAATAAAACTACAAGCCACACAGGAAGCCTATTCAAAGATTGCATATTTGCATATTAAGTGACTTATTTCTCTTCTTGGGCTTAAACTTAGACTGTTCAGCCAAACCTCAAAAGAATACACTTGTTCCTTTTTTCTCCTAATAGTACTGTGAGCCAAAGTACAAGAAGTCAAATACAAACCCAAGAAGTCTCTAGTCAGGTGTTATTTATCCTATGGTGTTTTTCGCTGTGTATTTTTTAATATCTTTATAAGATGACCTTATTGCCAGGCATGACAGTGCACGCTGTCATGCCAGTACTCAAGAGGCTGAGCAGGACTGCTGTGAATTCAGGGCCAGCCTGGGCTACATAGAGAGTTCAAGGCCAGCCTGAACTACATAGGGAGACCTTGTCTCAAAAAAAAAAAGATGGCATTACCTTCTTTCTGGCCCTAATTCTAGCTTACCTTACAAACAGTCAATAGCCAAGTACAATACAGGTAACTAATTTACAAGCTTTGCAAATGGAGAATCCCAGATTCATAACTGCACTGTCTCATGCAATGCCCAGCTTTTCTTCAAATGAAAATCTAATTGTCTTGATATATATTCTTATCATGAGGAATATTTTTAAAGATTTAGTTTTGTATTTTTGTGTTGCCTTTGGATATCTCTGAGGTTTAGAAAACAATTTGCCTATAAAGTGATTTGAACATTTTTAATTAAAATAATCAAATATTTAACACAAAATGTGTAGCAGTAACCTTACTCAGAAATTTTAATATTCTTCTAGCCCTGACTTTTAATTTAACTCCAAATATTAGAGAAATCAATCTAAAGATGTATTAAATGTGAGGACTAGGGGTTGGGGAAATTAAGGAGCATGAGTAATCAAGTGCTAACCATTTCTAATTAGGCTCTGTTGCATGTAAGTCGTTAGACATTACCTGGAAATAATCATGTTTATTAATCCCCCTATCACAAAATCTAATGCCTTAATTTATGCACCAATGGGTTGTATTCTGTTGCCCACACTTTCCCTACACTAATCCAAGTTTTATAAAAATAATTCCTTTTAAAAATCTGTGAAGTTTTCTTGGGAATTCTTTAGAAAACATATTGCTATTTTGTACCATGTGAAGTAAGATTTCCTGATCAGATTCACAAAGATAGTGGATATTTTTCAAGGCTTTAAGTGAAGATTTATTATTTTATTTTTCAGAGATCATAATTGAAATATGGCTCAGAGTGACTTCCTCTACCCAGAGAACCCACGGAGGCGGCAGGAAGTAACCCGTCTTCACCAGCAGCTCCTTGACTGCTTATCTGACAGCTTCCAGGCCACCAATAAGCTCATAGATGTCTTGAACGTGCACTTGGGCTGCAGGCTGGCCTCCATTGAAATGAAAAGAGATGGTACCATAAAAGAAAACTGTGATATCATCATCTATGCTGTGACAAAAATCCAAAAGGAACTGCAAAAGGTTGATGAAGCACTAAAAGATAAACTAGAGCCAACCCTTTATAGAAAACTTCAAGATATTAAGGAACGGGAAACAGAGAAAATTGCAATAGTACAAAAGGTTATTTCAGTCATCCTGGGAGAAGCCACCTCCGCAGCCAGTGCTGTGGCTGTTAAACTCGTAGGCTCGAACATCACAACTGGCATAATTAACAAGTTGGTCACTGTGTTAGCTCAAATTGGCACTTCTCTCCTTGGTAGTATTGGAGTTGCTGTTCTTGGCCTTGGCATAGATATGATCTTCCGTGCTATCCTGGGAGCAGTGGAGAAAACACAGCTTCAAACAGCCATCAAAAGCTATGAGAAGCATCTGGTGGAGTTCAAGTCAGCCTCAGAAAAATATAATAATGCCATCATTGAGGTCACCAATACAGTGGAATACCAAATGAAATGAACAGTCGTTTTACTTGTCAATGGAATGTTCTGCTTCCTTCTAAATAACAGTGTTTGCTTTTTTGACTAGGTTCCTTTTCCACATGCTTCCAATATGGACATAAATAGGGTAAACAATTTAGAAAAGAAACTGGAGATGCTAAAACTAGATGACTCTTGAGTTGTGTATTAACAATGAATACCTGGATCTGTTGGTGCTAAAGCCTTCCAGATAAAAGATTATATCCCAGAATGCTTTCTAACTCTCTTCTACAAATCTACATTAGGGTAAATGCTATTATACAGCAGGGGGTGTAGGGATTACTTCTAAATTCCTGTTATAATCCTTAAAACGTAAATCAAATGTAGAGATTTTCATTTCTATCATCAGCTTCTAACAACACTTAGTTCTAAAGAAATATTCTTGCCAGGCATGGTGATGTACATCTGTAATCCCTGCACTGAGGAGGCTGAGGCAGGAGGATCACCAAGTGTTTGAGGCCAGCCTGTATAGCTACATAGTGAGTTCAAGGACAGCCTGAAACTACATAGGGAGACCCTGTCTCAAAGGGAGGGATGGAGGGAAGAGGGAGATGGGGGGGGGGACAGAGACAGAGAGAGAGAGACAGAGAGAGGGATTCTTAGCAACTTCTTGCTAGGCACAAATCTGGAGAGTCTGAGTGAAATAGAAATTCATACTACCATATTATTAACTGCTAGGTTAAATCCAATTTAATCTGTAAACTGAGAGACTGAAAAACAGGGTGTAATAAGCTACAATGATGAAAGGAGACAATAAATCTGTAAACTTTACTAACTACTCAGTGTAAGTTGGAAGGATCAAAAATAACATTAAAATGATGAAAGTTTCTAAAATAGCAATCAATGCTGATCAACTGTGATAACTAAGTATCACTAGTGAGTGACTGAATATTCTGGAACATTAAAAAACAAAAAGCTAAAACTCAGCTACACATGCATAATATGCATTTAGGATGCTGAAGAGTTAGTCAAAGAAAAGTTGAATATATTAAGATTTTTCTGGGGAAAAAATAATATAATTTCATTTTCAATACTAGCAGAAACGAGGCAGCTGTTTCTGCCACATAAAGTACCAGGCAGCCCATTTTACTACCTAGTGTCAGAAAAATTCCAGAGGCTATGGAGGCCTCCTGATTCAGCTGATTTTCTGTAGATGCAAGCATTTGTTTTCTAAATCCTTCATCAACTAGTAATTCTCATTGAGAATGATTTAGGATCTACACTGTACTTCCAAAATTATTAAACTGTTGGTTCAAGAATGTGTTTGTTACAGTTTATTCTTATATTCAACTACAAAAAGGTCTTGAAATAAAAAATATTCAGCATATCTCACAATTTTTAAATATCCAAATGAAATTTGTAATTAGGCAAATGAAAGACTAAATTTTCAAATGTTCATTTTCTTTGCTACCATTGTTTTTATAAATTAGCTGCAAAATATCATAATTTAGCTGAATTTCAAAATTAAATCTTCTTTTTTATGATCTGGCTTTTAAGCTGTGACCTACAAGATTCTGTCATTGCTGAGACTCAAATTCAGTCTAACATCAAATCAAGAATTTACTAAGACAAAGTTTAGTTTATGTATGAATCCAACTTACATTGTTAAGGGCATATTTAAATATTTGGCTAAAAGCTAATATGCATCTCTGCCAATATTTGGAGATATTTATATTTGATAGTAAGAATTTGCCTATATCTAACTTCTCTAGGAGAGATGTTTAGATTAAGATAAGAAAAGACCAAGCATGCCCTTTAAGAGCAGATTTTTTTAAAAAATATACTTACCTTTAAGGAGAAGAGATGGGAGTCTCAAGGAAAGTATGGAATGGTCAACCCCTAAAAATTGGTGAATAATCCTGTTATGTATAGTGACATCATAAAAGATGTTTGGCTGGTGACAAGTCCAGTCAGAAAGAAAGCCAATATTTATCAACCTCGCTACTCCTAAATTTGAAATTGAGTATGTATTCTCACGTTTCCTCTTCAAAGACTAATCCCGTATATGAGCAATCTGGGGGTCTAAAACGGACACTGGTTTATTTGTTCAAGTATACAAATGCTCTGCATTTCTAAGCCACTACTCAATTTCCAGACGCCTAGACACCCACGTGGGATGACCTGATGCTTGCAAAGCACATTAAACTCAGTGTCAAGTGTTATTCGAGAATTCATTTTCAAACTGAAATGGAAACATTTTTCATTCGGTTACATCATAGGAGAAGTAAAAAATCCAACAATGAACACAACACCAAGTGACGGAAGCCAAAAACACTTCCCTATTTTTGAAAGAACCGGTATTGAGAGGCTCAATAGAAGCAGCTTCCGGAAATTAGGTCAGAAGGCCTGCAGCTTGAGCGGCAAGGCAGCCAACCAATCGCATAACGGCTTCCTTTTCCTTATTTCTATTAGACTAAATACGTGTCAATTGACGTGGGAGGCGGGCTCTTAGCCTAAAATCAATCAATTGGGTATTGTATTAGAGCGGAAGCGACTCTGGTCCTAGAGTTCCTGGATATTCTCTATGGTTCCAGGACTGAGATACGCTAAGAGATCTTAGGTCCAGGGATAGGAAGTGACGTAAGGATGGCGGAGGGGCGCGAGGTTTCAAGATGGCGGAGGGTAGGCGTTTGACCGAGAAGGAGAGGTGAAGGCCCCTCCGGGGTAAAGGAGTCCGGGAATCGTCCCCTCCCCGCATCTAACAGTTCTGGGAGCCCAGCAGAAGTGTGAGTGTATGAGATTGCTTTACTCCACGGCTCCATTTCTCCCATCCTTTTCTGGGGCCCGCGCGTTTACCCCGAGGATATCAGGCCCCTTTGCCCCGCTGTCCCTCTCCGGGGTTCGGGTCTTCCGAGTCGCGGACTGGAGGATTCCTGGGCCCGGCGTGGCGCGGAGTCCAGCGGTACGTGGCTGAGTTCGTGGGACGACTAGCACCGCCTCCCGTGCATATTGACCGCTGCCTTAAGTCTGAAGTCTCGTACCTCGAGTCAGTATCAACCGTCGCTATGGTTTCGGCAGTTGCTGCTGCTCTTGCCTCCCTTCGTGGACCTGCACCCCGTCCCATTGAAACCTCTTTGGCTATTTAATTCCTCGCGATTTTTGGCCTGATTTCCCGATCGCCTCTGCTTTTAGACAGAAAAGTAGTTTTTGTGGACTGAAGTATTCTCCATAGTCTTCTGTAAAAATTATCTTTAATTCGTGTCTCTTTTGTTTTGGGAGAAGAGGTTCGGAATATGAGAATACTTGAGAAATGAAACACAAAAAATAGAGGCAGTGAAAGATACAGGAGCATGTATTTGTAATATTTTGCTGGTTCTCCCCCTTCGCTACGTTCTGCTCTCCCTGCCCCTAGTTTTTCCGAAAAAGATATACTTGACAGGATAAATTGCTAATGGAACAGCTCTGAAACATCTAGCAGAAATCAGGACGCTTGAATGCTTGATTGTAGAAGCATTAACTGAGCCGGTTGTGGTGGCACGCTCCTGTAATCCCAGCCCTCTGGAAATCTGACGCAGGAGAATAAGAAGTTTGAGCCCAGGCTGGGCAATTTAGTGATCCGGTTACACTCCGTCTCAGAATTAAAAAATCTGTAGATAAAGAGACGCAGCTCAGTGTGAAAGCCCTGGGTTCGATTTCCAGTACCCCCCCCCCGCCCCCAGCATTAACTGTAACAAACTTGTCTGACAAAACTCTCTGAAAGGATGAAGGGAAGGTATAATTGTAGGGTCTACCAGAAAATTCACCTTATGATTTTCTCTTTTTCCCTTTCCTGCCCTTTAAAAGTGTCCACTTTTAACCCCTGTAATTTCCTAAATCCCTAAAAATCCTTGTATTTCCTAATGGTGATAAAGAAGTTTCTTTTGTTATTCATAACAACCCCATTTCAGCCACACCTGAGTTCCTGAGGTGACTTCTGGAAAGTCCCAATGGACTAGGGGGGCTTGTTGTCAATTGACCATGTGATTTAGAGAGTTGGAACTTTCAGTCCCACTCCCACGGGAAAGGAGAGAGGGGCTGGGGATTGATGGTTTATTCAGTCAGGCCTATTGAAGCCTCGTGAAACCCCGAAGGGATAGGGTTTGGTGAACTTCAGGAAATGCTGGCAGCGGCCTGGACCTAAGGGCATAGCAGCTCCCTTCCCCTTCCTATTAGTTGTCCAGTGCATCTCTTCCCTTGGCTGTTCCTGAATTGTATCCTTTTAAAATAAACTGGTAATCTAATAGCCAAAAAAAAAGTGTCCACTTTTTAAAAGAAACAAATGTGTCTGCCTTTATTATTGGAAAGACTGTTTCAAAAAAGCTTCACTCGGAGTAAAAGAGAAAGTAAAAAGTTTTTACTTTTAAAAATATTTCTCATTGAACATAGTTATCGTTTTGTCAATTACCTTAAAAAATACAAATCTGGAATCAAGTACATACTAGTAAGAAAAACAGGTATCTTAATATTGAGGTTTTGGGGGCATTCTCTCAATATACTAATCTTTAATATTTGCATTTTTCAATTAATGCTTTAAGCTCTTGAGAGTCAAGAATTATATCTGAATTAGAACTAAATCTGAGTTAAATATGGTTGAATTCATGACTTTTTACTATAAAAAGTGTTGGAAATGTACAACATGCATGCCAAGAGAGGCAAGGGGAACATTTTTGTCTTTGATCCCAAATCCATTTCTCCCATTTTCTTTTTTCTTCTTTCTCCCCACATGTAAATAAAAGGAGGATGTAGACAAAGGACTTTTCATATTCATGGTTTATGCCATATTGCTAAAACATTTTCTAGATGATTTTTTTCTTCAATAGACAATCAGTGCTGTGATTCATGAGGAAAATGTTAAACTGATGAATAATAAAGTCACCTTCATACCCCTAACCTTTCTAAAGAATAATTTTCTTTGTGGTCAGGAAAGTTGAGGCCATTTTTCTTGGATACTAAAGGCAAAACCTAAGGAAAGAACAAGGTCTCACAAAATTAATAAAAGGATGTTTCTTTCCAGGGATTGCTAGGAACTCTAATGAAAATAGAAGAAATAAGCTATTTCTTTGTTTTTGCAGGGTTGTTTTTTTTTAAGAATAAACCATTATAGATTGCCAATATGGGGCGGAGATCGACATCATCCACCAAGAGTGGAAAATTTATGAACCCTACCGACCAAGCTCGTAAGTGTCCAGTAGTGGATTGGTGAATAGAGGAGTGTTAAAAATTGCAGATATTAGGGACTATTTAGTGGCTTAATTACTACATCAGCAGTCATAGGAGGAGTAAATAGTGTAAAGTTATCTGGAGTTGTGATAGCACAAAATTAAAACTTTAAACATGTAAATAAATTAATACTTATTTCATTTTTGAGATTTAAGTGACTTGCAAAGTAGAATTGGCTTAAGGCTTTCTTTTTACATTTGGAATTTTGAATGTACTCATTATTTTGCAAGCTCTTTATGGTATTTTTTTCCTTAAGATTTACTTTCTAAAGAAACTTAAAAATGCCTTAACATTTTTGGTTGTGATTAGAAGGGCACTATCATCATCTAGTGGGTAGAAACAAAGGGTGCTACTGAATATCCTACAGTGCATAGGATAGTCTTACACAATAAAGAATTATCTGGATTAAAAGGGAAAAGATGGTAATGTTACATTGTTTAAAGTTGTATCATCTGTCCCTCTTTCCCTTTAAGGAAAGGAAGCCCGGAAGAGAGAATTAAAGAAGGTACGCTATCAGAAGAATCCTGTGTAGCTTTAAGAGTTACTTGGCACATGTTAGTTTTTGGAATTAGTGCAGTTCAAAATAACATTTTCATTTATTTGCCAAAATAGATGATTTATGCTTCTTCATCAAAACCATAGAATTTGCTATTTAAAAAATGAACTGAAGTAACTTTGCAGGTAGATTCTAATGGGTTTTAATGACATTGTTTATCTTTCCCAAAGAGTTAAAAAAAAATAATACTTGTGAAAATAATTACTTTTTGTTACTTATCAAGACATAACTTGTCAAAAACTACTGAATTAGTGAGTGGAAATCATTGCTGGATAGTTTCTGTATCCTGTCTTCCAGGTTAGTTTGTGGCAAGGTACTTGAATAAGAAAGGAATGATCTTTTACTATCATTCATTAACACATTGAGGAAACCCAGATTTTTAATCATTTTCAATGGGGTGTTCTTGTTTTATTGTTTAGCATTCCATTTTGCAGAACTTTTCCCTACTCCAATCAATATAGAATTTTTTAACCCCAACTTTAAAAGAAATACTTGCCCAAGAAAGGACTTCTTTTTGACTAAATTTATTTTTGAGAGCAAAAAAATTTCATGCCTCTGTTTCTACTGGTTAAAACAAATAATTGGAGGGCCGGGGATTTAGCTCAGTGGTGCCGCCTTGAAAGCAAAAGGTCCCAAGTTTGATCCCTGGTACAAAAAAACAAAAAAAAAGCCAACAACAAATGATCAGAAACCAAAGGGAAATTCACAATACAGTTTAGGTCAGTTCTTGAAGCGTATTGAAATAACTCACAGACATCCAACTTCTTAACATCTGCTCTTCTTTCACTTTGCTAAGAACAAAAAACAGCGCATGATGGTTCGAGCTGCAGTTTTGAAGATGAAAGATCCCAAACAGATTATCCGGGACATGGAGAAATTGGATGAAATGGGTAAATCTTGTTAAAAGGCCTAATTTTATAGCAGCTACAGAGATCCGATGTGCACAGAGGCAGGCACATGCTAAGTGAGGCAGCATGGCCTAAGGAAAACAAAGCAGGATGGCATTTGACACCCAGTTAGTTTCAGTGACAGGAAGGGGACACTAAAATGGAATGGAGAGATGGGGGCTTTTACAAACTGGAGATCCCGTATCCTAGAGTAGGAGAAAAGTCATTTAGCTGGAGGTAACTTGTGAATTAATAAAAGTCCAGTCTGGCCAGCCCTTTTTTTTTTTTTTCCTAAGAGAAGACAAATTTGATTTATGAAATAATTGTTTTTCTAATGTTGGCAGCTACCATGTAAATCTTAAGTATTAGACCACTGTGAATATAAGGCAATTTTTTATTTTTTCAATGAGACGATCCAAAAAGATATTTGGCCATTTGGTAAGAATGTAAAAGAAATCATCTCACACAGGTATTCCTTGACTTATGATGGGGTCACATTCCATTAAATCACTGGTAAATTGAAAATAACATAAATTAAGTTTTTAATGCATCGAACCTAATGAACATGATTGCTTAGCCTGGCCTCCTTAAATGTGCTCAGAACACTTAGGTCAACCTTCAATTAGGCAAAATCATTAAATTCAAAGCCTATTTATTTTATATTAGTGTTGTGTATAGCATGTACTTTACTGAATTCTGTACTGAAAGTGAAAAACAGAACAATTGTATGTGTACTTGAGAAGTTTCTATTGAATGCTTACAGCTTTCATGTCATTGCAAAGTAGAAAAAATCTTAAGTGGAGCCATCCTAAGTGGGGGACCAGAATAGCCACTGGAAATGTTATGTGCACACACAGATACCCTTTCTTTTCCTATAAGAACATACAGAGTTATTTGTCTTTCTTTAGAATAGAAGTTTTCGTACTCATTTCTTTATTTTGCAGTCCTGGGAATTGAACCTAGTTTGTTTTTACTCTAAAACAGAAGTTTTCAAACATGCAAAAAAGGAGTCTAGTTAACTCCCATATGCTTATCAGCTGTCAAATTTTTGTCAATTCTACGTTCTTCCTCCTGTATCCTACCTTTTTTCCAGTTGTGTTGTGTTTTAAAGTGATCTTTACATACAACATTGTTTACAGAGATACCCCACAGATTCAGTGGTATGTCCAAAAAAAGGATAGGAGGTGAAAAAGATGGCAGAATTCCTCAGTGATGAATTAATTGGGGTTCAGAACATCCTGTCACCTGGGACTGTGGTACTACAAAGTTCCCGAAATAACTTTTGAGAGTCCATGAAGTAGCTTGGTCAGGAGCTCTGGGCCAAGACCTCACATCTCTCCCAGCTTAGCTATAATGGATTTCACTTGTTGTGTCTGGTTTAAATATCACTAAAGACAATTATTTTCCCTCCAGTGTCACAGAACCCATGTTAAATGGTCTAAAATTGTTCTTTGTTGTTTTAAAAGGAGGTAATAATAATAACTGAGGTTGCTTCAGGTTTTTATACATATTATCTTACCCTCAATAACTTTTTAGGGTAAAGTGTCTCTGTTTTATAGGTGAGGAAACTGACACAGCAGTTACTATTTCAAAATCATACTGCTATATAAAGGCAAAACTGGGATTAAAACTCACACATTCAGCACTTTTATTAATCACACTAGGAATAATATAAGAATACACTTTGTAGATTTGAATAAATCACCAAGGTTCATAGTTAATAGGATTTAGGGAAGAAGGTAGTTCAACTTGTTACTCTTTAAGAAAAGGGAAAAGGGAGAAGACAAAGTAGACATTGGCTGCTATGATTAAGCAAGTCCCACTTGAAGCCGACCACCTTTGAAACCCCATTGAAATCCCATTGTCAGAACTGTTGGTCTGTCTAGTCTACTTTGTTTGCTTCATTCAGGATAATGCCGATGAAATCCTCAGGGTGGAAAGTGGGACATCTGCAGAATTTGTGGTTGGGAGAGAGAGCCACAGACAGCTCTAGGCTTGCTTTATCCTGCTTACTATCTCCAGGAGAAAGGTCTGGTCCCAGTTTGGATCATGTGCTAGTCGATCTCCTTATATCATTACTAAACAGAAAGATGGGGAGATATGATTGACCAGGCAGAGCTGGAAGTCTTGTGCTAGTCCCTCTTGGGGCAAAGGAACTGACATTAAGGCTCATATTGACACAAGATCAGTTAAGGGGAGAAGGGGTTAAATGATAGCTAGTTAAGGAACATAGGTCCATCATAAAAGTAATAGACATGATCAACCAAACATCACTGCATATTCTGTTTGCAATTTCATTGTATCATCAGAACTTTGTTACAAAATAATTGGTGTCCCCATTTTTCAGGTGAGGACACTTTAGAACATTCAAGTGCAGTGCCTAAGACTGCAGAATTAAATGACAGGACCAGTGTTTATCTAAGAAGTTTTTAATAAACTAGTCTCTGAATGTCTAAATGATGTAACCGTTTGCTTATAACTCTGTAATCTATTTTTTTCTCCCAGAGTTTAACCCAGTGCAACAACCACAGTTAAATGAGAAAGTACTCAAAGACAAACGTAAAAAGCTTCGTGAAACCTTTGAACGTATCCTACGACTTTATGAAAAAGAGAATCCAGATATTTATAAAGAATTGAGAAAGCTAGAAGTAGAATATGAACAGAAAAGGGCTCAACTTAGCCAATATTTTGATGCTGTCAAGGTAATCAAGTTTCTCATGAAAGATAGATAAAATGTTTTATGTAAGATTTGCTCTTAAAAGTTAATGGGAGCTGGGCATGATGGCACACATCTGTAATCCCAGCACTCAGGATGCTGAGGCAGGTGGATCACTGAGTTTGAGGCCAGTCTGAACTACATAGTGAGAACCTGTCTCAAAAAAAAAAAAAAGTTAATGGGAAAATTCATTGTTGTAAAGCTCTTGTTCATGGCAGTTTCTTATAAGACAACATTCTCACCATGTAAGCCAGCAAATCTTACACAAGAAAAATTAATATATCCACCAACACAGTAAATAGCCAAAACCTGATAGTCTAGGTGTCTATTACTGGATAATGAATAATCAAACTATAGTATATTTATACAATAGAATACTATTCAGCAAACAAAAAATGATCTAATGATGAAACAGGATTAAAATATTTAAGGAATATATATATATATATATCTATATATATCTCAGAAACATGCTGTGCTTCTTTCATAGTAATTCCATTTATATGAAATGCTAGAACAGGCAAAACTAGAGAGGGAAAAAATTATTAAAAGTAGTTGCCTTGGGATAGATAGTGTTAGGGATTGATTGGGAAGGGGAATAAGGTATATATGTGTGTGTGCCTTTGTCAAGACTCATTGAAATTACACATTTCATTGTAAATTTTACTTTAAAATAAAAATGGATAAAGATAAAATGTAAAGTATGTATTGTGGGTCCCATTTTACAGATAAGAAAACATAAGATAACTTGCTTAATGGCATACAGATAATACAGGGCACAGATTCAACAAAGGCAGACTAATTTTAGAGTCTAAGTTCTACTGCTGGATATATACATTTGTTAGCTTATATATTATCATCCAGAATATTAAATAGCATAGCTTTGTTACTGCCTTTAACAGTTAGATTTCTGCCAGGCGTGGTCACCTGTAATCCGAGCACTAAGGAGGCTGAAGCAGGAGAATTGCTGTAATATCAAGGCCAGCCTGAGCTATAAAGCAAGACCTTGTCTCAAAAAAAAAGCAGACTTCTCTAAACAGCTACTTCAAATCATATCCAAAAGGAATCAGCTGTAGAGTCCTATCTATGAAAGGATCAAGAACAAAACATCTAGACTTTGGTTCTTTGGAAGAAATAAAGATCCTTTCAGTTCTTGTTTTTTCATGATGTTTGTTGGAAAGCAAATTCAGGTTATGAAACAGCTGACATGTCATTTTTGGTGTAGAGTTTGTGGATTACTTCTTAACATGCTATTGAAGTTTCTCCCTGTTTCAGAACGCTCAGCATGTGGAAGTAGAGAGTATTCCTTTGCCAGATATGCCGCATGCTCCTTCCAACATCTTAATCCAGGACATTCCACTTCCTGGTGCCCAGCCGCCCTCCATTCTTAAGAAAACCTCAGCCTATGGGTAAGGAAGCAGTATCATGATCAGCATTCATTAAAAGCACCTTGGATACAACGTGCCAAAATTGGTACAGTGAGAAATAAAAGGCGATGTGGATATAAGCAATGTGACACTTGACTAAATGTGAAGAAATCCCTTGGAAATTTAGAAGGAGAAATAAGTACTGTATTTTTTCAATTTTTACATTTTATTACTACTGTTCACCGTACTTTACAATTATGACATTCATCGTGGGGAGTTGGCACATAGCAGATCTTAATTCTTATTTCTTCCCCTCACTCCTGCTTTGGGCTTCTTCTCTTGGACCCCTTCACTCCTCTTATGTGGTCACTATTGCCCTTTTTTTTTTAACAGACCACCAACTCGAGCAGTTTCCATCCTTCCTCTTCTTGGACATGGTGTTCCACGTTTGCCCCCCGGCAGGAAACCTCCTGGTCCTCCCCCTGGCCCACCTCCACCCCAAGTCTTGCAGATGTACGGCCGTAAAGTGGGCTTTGCTCTAGATCTTCCTCCTCGTAGGCGGGATGAGGACATGTTGTATAGTCCTGATCTTGGTAAGGCGTGAATGTTTCTTTCTTGTTAGGACCTTTGCACTGTCATTTCTCATGTTGGCCCTATTTAACATGTTGTTCATAACCCTCAGAACCTAGGAAATAAATGAGAACACTATGTATATGTAATGCGTATACTGATGGATAAATCATAGAATCTACCCAAGTACAAGAATCATACATAAGCATGTATAGAAGTGTTTGTTTTACATTATTCTTTTCTCTTAGAGTTGCTGTGTAGCCCAAACTGGCCTTGAACTCGCGATCCTCCTGCCTCAGCATCCCAAATGCTGGGATTGCAGCCATGCACCATCATGCCTGGCCTGCATTAACCAGGCTTTTCTTAGCGATGTCACAGCATTAACTGCCAACCCCTTAATATTAGGATGCCTGTCCTCTTTCAGTATTATTGTCATCAGACTCATTTCACTGTATGTGATCATTTATTGTTTCACATTTGAATTTTTTTAAAGCTTACATTATCAAAAGGAATATTTAGAAATATTACCTAGTAAAAATAACCAAACTCATAGCTGCAATTATATACTGATTTTTTACGTGCACAGATGAATATTCTGAGTTATGTAATGAGCGTAGTTTCCATATTTCTGGCGACCATGCAGTGGAGTGCTTCATCGTGTTACTCATTCCGTGCTCTGCCCCTCTAGTGCAACGTGGTCATGATGATGATGTTTCCAGCACCAGTGAAGATGACGGCTACCCTGAGGACATGGATCAAGACAAGCACGATGACAGCACCGATGACAGTGACTCGGACAGGACGGAAGGAGAAAGTGAGGGGGATGAGTTTGTGCACCGCGATGACAGCGAGCGAGACAACACTGAAGAGAAGAAGTCAGGTACGGCCAGATGGACAGCCCATGGTGCTGGCCAGCGAAGAGTGCACGGCCAAAGTGCCCAATTTAGCAGTGAGCGAAAGTAATGTGAGCTCTGACGGGAGGTATCACAGTTGTATTCACCTGTATGTCTCATTATTTTGAAAATTTCTGACACATAGTATTCAGTAAATGTAAGGAGTAAACAGTGTATGTAGTTTAACACCGTAAAGCTACACTGTCATGGATGTGCTATAGGACAGAAAGGGGACTATAACCTTTTGGGTTTTTCCTGAATACACTTTTTTAAATGTCTTTTTTTGCTCCTTGAATTATCTATATTCATGGTATCTAAACATGAACCAGGATTATAATTATAACTCAGGTACATCTGTAAGTGGAATCATGAACTACATTTTATCTATGGTGTATATTATTTATTGTTTGAAAAATTGTATGCAATGTAGTATGTCCTGGGCCATGTAGAGTGCACACTGATTCTGTCAAGCATCACTGGTATTGGGGCTTCTTTGGGGATTGTTTTTGTAGCCTACAGTTGGCATACAGTGTTTATATGTAGTGTTAGGATATATAATGCTAACAGTATTTACAGTGATGATAGACATTTCTTCTACTATTTCTTAGTCGTGACTGCAAACCAAAAAGCTAGAGTGTTAGAAATGGTACTAGAAGAGTATAGGAGACTCTTAGGTAGGAACTCATACGAGAAAGTAAACTCAGAGTCACAGCCGCTCTGCTTTCTCTGGGACTTTGGTCTCTTCCCTTTTTTCTTTTTTCTGCCAACTGTTTTTCTTTGTACACTCATCAGGACACATACTCTGAAAATGTCTGGCCCAACTTTGCCTTGATATTCTTTCAGCTAATATTCATTGAGGTTTTACTATATGCCAGGCTTTTTTCTAGGCACTAAGGATACAGGCTAACCAAACTATAAAGTCCTGCCTGCATAGAATAACCATCTTCTTTCAATGTTTACCAACTAAAAATGCTCCTGATACTATACATGAGGTGCAGTAATGCCTAGTGGGTAGCCTTTGGCAGGTTAAAAAGTCTCTTTCTGTTCCCAGTTTTCCTGTTGTTGTTGTTTTCTTTTTTTTTTTTTTATCATATTTTGTAAGCATCTGCTGGATGTGGTTTTTTTCTTTTCAAGTTATTGTAGTGAATTACCTTGCTAGCTTTTCTTTGTGAAACCATCTTGTATATGTGGGAACAACCCTGCATGCTTATGACATTTTTTTTTTAATACTGTTGGCTTCAGTTTGTTTATATTTTATGTTGACCTGTAGGTTGGTAGAGGTGTTAGGATTTTTCTAACTTCGTGAGATAGCTAGCCTTCCATCCTTTCCTATGTCTCTTTTCAGAAAATTTTTTTTTTTTTTTTTTTTTTGGTACCAGGGATCAAACTCAGGTCCTTGCGCTTGCACAGCAGGCGGCGAAACCACTGAGCTAAATTCTCGGCCCATTCAGAAAATTTTTGTAGCTTAATATATAGCAGAATTTCCTTGTATCTTTTAAGGAAGTAAATCTTTTAACTATATTTCAGTTCTGTATATTTTGTGATTATATCCTTTCTGTTTTGTATGTTTTATGCAATGAATATTTTTCTCTTTTTTTTGCAATGAATATTTTTTATATAGAATTGATTTTTATCTGAGGGTTCAATTTTATTGACATAAAGATATAAATAGCATTGTTTAAACTTTTAAGATTTATGTATCTTAAATCACTGTAACATGTATTTACTGCCAGTTTACATCTTTAATATAGCCATTTCTGCAGTTCTGTCCAGTAATGGGTTGGAACTATATAATACTTTTGAGTTACATAGTAAACATCAACTGAATTTATTGATCCGTATTTACTCTACTCCTACCCTCCCAACCCCTTAGGTCTGAGTGTGCGGTTTGCAGATATGCCTGGAAAATCAAGAAAGAAAAAGAAGAACATGAAGGAGCTGACTCCTCTTCAAGCCATGATGCTTCGAATGGCGGGTAAGGCAAGGAATAGCGCGTCACTTTTTGGTTGCTTTTGCGTACAATCTTCCATTTACTATCTCAGAACCCTGAAATAAGTAGTAAGTCTGTGTTTATAAAAATTTAGGTTTGGAACCATTGGATAGGCTGCCCCAAGTTCTGCAGTTAGTGAGTTGTTGGGCGTACATTTAAGTGTAGGTCTGTCTTGCTCTGAAGCCTGGGATCGGTCCACTGCTACACAAACACGGTTGCACAGAATACTGTTTGATTCTTCCACATCGAAGTGCTTTATTGAGGAAGACTATTTGGTTGTTAATTTTTAAGAATGTGCTTAACTTGTATCTGCAGTCTTTGCACTGCTCTAGGATGTAAAAAATGAATCAACTCTGTTTACCCATTTTAAAATTTTCTTTCAGGTCAGGAAATCCCCGAGGAGGGACGGGAAGTAGAGGAATTTTCAGAGGATGACGATGATGATGATTCTGATGATTCTGAAGTAGAGAAGCAATCACAGAAACAGCATAAGGAAGATCTTCATTCTGATGGCACAGCTACTGCTTCTTCCCAGCAGCAGGTGCCCCCACAGTCTGTTCCTCCTCAGATTCAAGCGCCGCCTATGCCAGGCCCGCCTCCTCTGGGACCACCCCCTGCTCCACCTTTGCGGCCTCCTGGACCACCTACAAGCCTCCCTCCTGGGCCACCTCCAGGTAAGCGCTTATAGGATGTGAATACATATTTAACGTTAATGAACTCTTTCCAGAAAATGTACATTATTAGTAGTAAGGCTCTCTTGTTTCCTCCTAATGGAATCCTCTAAAGATAGCAAGAATGCGCAAAAGATATATGACACTTGTTCATTTCTAAAGCATTGTTCAAAGCTGCACTCTTGACAGGGCCTTGTTTTTTCAAGGTTCTTATTTCTGGCTACAGCAGTCAGAAATTTGAACATGTAACTGTACTTTCTTTGGTGTTACTTTTTTTTTTGGTACCGGGGATCGAACTCAGGTCATTGCACTTGCGCAGCAGGCGGCAAAACCACTGAGCTAAATCCCCGGCCCCAGTGTTACTTTTTAATATGACAAGTTGACCCAGTTCTAAATTGAGAGCAGGTAAGACTAGGGCACAGTTAGTACTATCTAATGATGTTCTTAGTTTAAGAGCTATTGAGTGTCAAGATAATCCTGATGGTTTTGTAAATTATGGTTCTCTTAATAAAGGCAAAGGTAATCAGTCTGTTTATCAAGTGTTCAACTTAAAAAGTAGAAAGACCTTATTTATAATTTCATACAACCAAGGGAATTTCTTGGCTTTTTATAATTTTAGTCCTTCTTCTTAGAATCATCCAATTAAATTGGCTTCAAGTGAGATAACCCTTTATTGATTGGTGCAAAGCAAAATTACCAATTGTATGTAATTCTCACTGATCTTTGACTGTATCTTAATGACATTCAGGGAATCTTTAAAGCAACCTGACTTACTCCATTTGCAGCTTATTCTTGAACTATTTAAGAGTTTTGTCATGCTTGTGTATTTCCAGCCCAGCAGAGATGTGATTGAATATGCTTTTTTTTGTCAGTGCTGGGTAGTAAAAAGAAATGGTCCATAATTAATCCAATACCCTCTTACTGATGCTTTGATATTTGTTGAATAAATTCTATCTCCACATATTTTAATGAGTTAATGAAGTTATCTAATTTTGAGTTATTAAACTTCTAAGTCAAACCATTTATACCACGATTGTTACTTCATGTGTATTTGTGTCACATTTATTTATCATTTTTCTCTTTTTAGGGGCTCCTCCATTCCTGAGACCACCTGGAATGCCAGGACTCCGAGGGCCTTTGCCACGACTTTTACCTCCAGGACCACCACCAGGCCGACCCCCTGGCCCTCCCCCTGGTCCTCCTCCAGGGCTCCCCCCTGGCCCTCCTCCCCGGGGCCCCCCACCAAGGCTACCTCCCCCTGCACCTCCAGGTGACGCTTTCAGTTTCCATAACAAAAACCTAGGCCACTGTGTTCTTCATATGCTCTGAGGCATTGTCACATCTCAGTATCTTGAATGCAAAGGAAGTCTTAATGATCAGTGATGGATTTTAATTGCTTTTGGCCTAAACTGATGCAGAGTTCTTGAAGTAGATATTTCATTTGTTTCCGCCTGTCACTTGCAGAGCTTCACAGCCATAGACCACATTGGGTTGGATTTTATATTAGAGGTTTTTTTCCTTTTACAAGTACAGTTGTAAATATGAAGCTGTTTTGTGCATCTGCATGAGTTTCAGCCTAAGGTTTAAAATTACCGCTGGGCATGAGTGCACACCTGTAATCCCAGCTCTCTGGAAGGCTGAGGCAGGATGATCCAAGTTTATGCCCAGCCAAATGACTTAGTGAGGCCCCATCTTGAAATAAAAAATGTTAAAAGAAGTGGGAAATTAACTCAGTGGGAAGGCCCTTGGGCTCAGTGCCACAGGGGGAAAAGTCACAGGAGGTTTAGTGCCCCAGCTTAGGCTTTCTCTTTCTTAGTGGTACACAGAATAATTAATTACAAGTCTCTAATCAACAGCATATAGTGTTTTATATTCAGAGAACTGCAGGCCCTGATATATGATGAGTGTGTGTCTGAACCATTGATAGTACATGAATTGTTTTCCAGTAATTATGTGTTGGCGATTGTTTTTTCATTTCATGTTCATTTACTGACCAGTGTTAAACGTTTATTTCCTGCCCACTGAGTTAACTCATCTTGCAGTGGTAGTGGCATGGAAATAAGTAAATTAGGGATGGGGATGAACCCCTGACTTTGACTTTAATGCCATCTGCACTATACAGTGAGAGTTGTATTCTGAGATGTCAAATTTAAAGCAGTATTTGAAACCAGTTGGTGATTTTACTTTATATAGTATAGGGATACAGAGTGAAGGGGAATGTTGCATTCCTTTACTATCAAAATATATTCCCAAGTATTAAAGAGTATGGCATGAGTTCAGCTTTTTTCTGTAAAATGTTACCATTTTTTTAAACTTCCCTACCTACATTTAAGCATGGTGGTTTAATAGCGCTTTAACCGCAGTTTAATAGAAGTGAAACGGCATTAGTCATTGTGTTCACCCTGGGTCTTTGCCTTTTCATTTAGGTATCCCCCCGCCCCGTCCTGGCATGATGCGCCCGCCTTTGGTGCCTCCACTGGGACCTGCCCCACCTGGGCTCTTCCCCCCAGCTCCCTTGCCGAACCCAGGCGTGTTGAGTGCCCCCCCCAACTTGATTCAGCGACCCAAGGCGGATGACACGAGTGCAGCCACCATCGAGAAGAAAGCCACAGCGACCATCAGCGCCAAGCCACAAATCACTAACCCCAAGGCAGAGATTACTCGATTTGTGCCCACTGCACTGAGGGTACGTCGGGAGAATAAAGGGGCCGCTGCTGCCCCCCAAAGAAAGTCAGAGGATGATTCTGCTGTGCCTCTTGCCAAAGCAGCCCCCAAATCTGGTCCTTCTGTTCCTGTCTCAGTACAAACTAAGGATGATGTTTATGAAGCTTTCATGAAGGAGATGGAAGGGTTGCTGTGACTGCTTCCGGGGCCGAAACAGGCTTCTGTTCACAGCAGCGGTTCACGGAGCAGGACACTCGCACTAAAGCTTAGGTGAAAGAGCTGCTTCACTGTCAGGGTATTTTCTGATTTCAGCTCAAGGGGTACCCTAGAGTCCAGCCTTGTTTGGAGTTTCCTGCACGTGAGAGAGGGTATTTCATCCAGAAGTCTGGGTACCGAAGCCGTGCTGCTAATATCCATTCTCTCCACACTGCCATTTGCATCCCATTTCTTCCCCTCCAATTTTTTGGGAATTTGTGACCCGGCACATCTTTTACTTGTTTTGACTCTCTTGTGTGCCGTGGGCCCTGGAATAGAGATTTCTCAAAAAACCAGTTTATTTCATCTTTTTGTGTTTGAGTTATTTTTAATATTTTCATGTAAATATTTTGTAATATTTTACTCGTAGTGAAATGGACTGCAATGTCATTTCCTAATTCAGAGTAGGATATGTGGGGAGAAAATGTACAATTCTTTGATTAAAATTATTTCCCACTGACCTAAATTTTGTTTCATGGAAAAAAATAAATAAATGTACTACCCCAACGACTGTTTGTGTTAATGATACCTTGTTTTATGGGCAAAAAAGAAGCAAGGATTTAAGACTTAGAGTTTTAAGGAACTGCCATCTCCGCTACAGAATGATTTTACTGAAAACATGGTAAAAACTGAGTTTCAGATTTTAAGGAATAGAGAACAGAAAAATCTTTGCCTTTGAGATTATCATACTGGCTTTAGGGAAATTGAAAGGTGTTACAAATAGCTTGACTCGGCTTTTTATTGCATAGAAGTCTTATCCTCAAAGATGACTTATTTGCCCAGAGCTTTGTGACTGATACTTGCTGAATGACCGAGGCCATTTTAAACCATTCCTAGACTATTACAGAATCAGAAAAAGTTAATTTTTTTAATCAATGAGGTTTTTATGTGCTCTTATATTAAAATACTAATGCTTAAACATATCTACCATTGATAAATTTCAAAGTTCTTTAGTAACATACTTCATCTACCTAATAATCCTGGGAGTTGGTATTCACAAGTATCTCCATTTTATTTACACTTGAGTGTGTTGAAACTTAACAAGTTCCTTTTGAATTTTCTAGTGGCTAAGTATGATTTTAGAAACAAATACTAGCCTAATCATGTGCTTAGGCTATGCACACTTTACTTCCACTGTACCTTAGTTGCCGTTCATGTGAATTCCATACCGTCAAAACGGCTGATACCCTAAAAGGCAGGGTAATGATTAAAAGGGGGGAGGGAGGAGACTTTAATCTTCTCATAATAAATTACTCTGATGGATGTCTAGGCTTTTACTTTGACATCTTGTGTGTCTGCCTTGTCTAGGAAGTCATTCTTTTAGATTAAAGCAAATCCTGGCAAAGTACTAAGACTATTTCATGTTTTGTGTTTGCCTTTCGTTCTGGTTTTGTGTGTGTAATTCATAAGGACAGCAGGTCAATCGATTTAGATGCAAAGACTGAACAAAATTATGTCAGCATCAAATCAATATTATAGTTTTAGCGTAAACAACTACAGTATCTGCTATGTTTTTAATGTATTTCCTTGAAATTTCTATCTGGGAGAGATTTATGTTATAGAATAGTTTATCATAAATTATTTCCTAATATTGCTAGTTTTTAAAAGAGAATTTAATGGTATAATCAATATATTTACAATGTCAACTGAATCTGAAAGGGGGGAATCAGCAGTTCTGATTCTGGGTAAACATTTGTGGTCATAATTTATGTCATGGTTTCAAAAATGTTTCACTGTGATTAGATCACGCCTGAAATAATAAGCTAGGTACAATTCTCTGTCTGTGGGTGGACTTGCTACTGTTTTATCAGAGCTTTGCTTTGTTACACATCAATTTCTCCTTAAAATCACTTTGAAATTCATTTTAGACTTTGCCTAGCTGCATTAAGGATCACAATAAGTTTGCCATGGCATAGAATCAACATAAAGCCCTAGATGTTATCTAGCTTCTCTTTACTTTCAAATCTCAACATGTGTATTCTGTTTTGTGCTGTTTATTATATATGGGAAGTTATTTTAAAATATTTTTAGATTTTTTTTATAGCATTCAAATAATTATTCAGACCTTTCGATACCACAGTCACCATCCCACTTGGAACTGCCCACCTTGTGCTTTAACCCTAACTCAAATTAGGAAGGCTGAAACCTGAGAACATCGAGCATCGGGGATTACTTTGGAAGGCGGATCTTATCAGGACATCTGGGGCTCAAAGCTGTCACCAAGCAGAGCTGCACATGAATCCTACACATTTAGGTCCTTGGTTTAGGAAGGCAAGAATGGGCCAGGGGTAGGGGGATTACATCCTCAGAAACAAAGAGCTTTTAATAAAAGAGCAGGACCTGTGACGCCAAAACAACTGCCTACTTCAGCTCCCTTCCAGCGTCTTGCAGTTTAGCTGTGAAGAGAGAAAACAGCAAATGACTGGATCAGGTGGGTCGAGGTTTGCTTCTCCGTGCTGGTTTTGCTGAGGGGTAATAACTAGTAAAGGGAGAGGTAGAGAATGAGGGTGGTAATCCATGAAATAAGAGGAGTTAAAACAGGCCAAGCACAGATCCAACAACTGCACCTAAGACTAGTGCAAAATAACCCAGATCAAGAGCAGGGGTATTTTTTATTATTATTATTATTATTATTATTATTATTATTATTATTATTATTATTTTGGTACCAGGGATTCAACTCAGGACTCTGCACTTGCAAAGCAGGCAGCAGAACCAGAGCTAAGTCCCCAGCCCCTTAGCAGGGGTATTTTTAAATCCACATGTATACTCTAGCATTTTTTGTTTTATACAATGTGTTCATTTAAAAAAGAGTTAACATGAAAAGGTAAAGAATAGCATAAGAATAAATACATTTATGAAGAAAGCCAGTAGAACATCAGTTTTTGCAAAGATGCTTTGTGGCATGGGAAGCTTTTTATTTTTCAGTTTTGATTCATTTAGTGAACTAGAACAAGGATCAGCAAACTTTCTCCAAAGGACCAGATGGTAAATATTCTGGGCTCTGCCAGCTCTACTGCTTTTGTAGCCTAAAACCTGAGCTGCAGGCATCCTCATGAAAAGACCCCTGACCCTGCGATGTCCCTTCACTGAGAAACTGCATGTCATAGTTGCTGTAATGGAGAAAAGCCTGAAGAAAGCTCACCTAATATCTCAGAGCAGGTACTGAGTTGGAATTTCGGAGGTAATAAATTCATAACCAGCACGCATGAACAGAAAAATTCGCTGCTCTTTACCTTCACCATCACAACCTACTTATAAAATTCCTAGCACAGATTCATTTGGCAAAAAACAAACCCTTCTCAAGCACGTTCTGGTAGGGAGTTAGGTATTGCTGGCATATGTGTACTAGCTAATGATATAAACTTTAGGTCATTTTTCTTAAAAAAAAAAAAAAAAAAGAATCACGGGCTCCAAGTTGTCTTTTAAAAATATAGGAGACTGCCAGGCTTCATGTTAGAAGTTGGCTCGATAGAATAAAACTAAACTAGGAAGTAAGCAAAAACTGTTCCAAAAACTGATAGACAATGATACTCCACAAAATGTTTCATCGACTCCTCGGTACTTTCAGCCTTCCTTGCAATTAGATTAAACACAGGCTAGTTTCAGTCAAGGGGCTGAAGGAAATAAGGGCTGTGGAGTGGGTTTTCTGTGCTCTTATTTCCTGCTGGTGGAACACAGGGGATTTTTATGGCTGATGAGTGATATACAGCACTGGTATAGAAAAGATGGCTGAACTGGCAAGAATTGTGTATTTTGTAGACTTCATTCCATGTCTACTCTTGTGAAAGTTTCAGGAACAGGGATTCCATCAGTCCTATTTGCTCTCACAGAACACTGTGTATCAAGGATTTTGTGCGGGGATGTATTAGTGAGCTTTCCCATCACTGAGACAAAATACACAATACCTGCAACTAAAAGGAGAAGAGTTTATTTTGGGTCCAAGGTTTCAGTCCATGGTCTGAAAGCTCCATGGAAGAAAAAGCATGGCAGAGGGGCTTAGCAGAGGAAAAGTTGCTCAGGTCACCAGATCCGAGAAGCAGAGAAAGAAGGGAGGAGCCTGGCACCAGAACACACAATTGTAAATCACACTTGCAACCACCTGCCACTTCTGATCAGGCCCCACTTCCAAACATGACATTTTGGGAAGCATTTTAAATCTAACCTGTAGGAGGTAACCTTTGTCATGTCATGAAATGTTCTGTGATACTGTTCCTCCATGGCAAAGGTTAGCTGCTCCCACTATATTTGGAGAATTAAGGGGTGCTCTCAGTCTCTTCGTCATCGCTGAGACACAATACTTCACACCCACAATTTAAAGGAGAGTTTATTATAGCTCAAGTTTCAGTCCATGATTAACTGGCTCTAAGGCAGGATGGCATGGCAGAGGAGCAACATAGCAAGGGAAAATTGCTCAAGTCCTAGGAACTCCTGAAACATTACTGGAAACCTCTGCAGTAGGCTCCAGGCTCCTGCCCAGTGTATGACACAGGCCTGAGGAAATAAACTAAAAGACAGAACTGAGACAGAAAGTACTACCTGCGAGGATGCAGAGTTGTGTGGTTTCTATGGAAATTAATGTAAGCAAGGCTCATAAAAGACAACACGAAGCATTTTCAAATTAGGAACAGAATAGACAAAATATATGGTTAAAAAGGTTTTAGTTGTGGGAATAGAATTTGAGTGCGAGTTACTCTCACCTTGGCACATAGGCTTTGGCTGGACTCGTTTCTCAAAAAAAAGCCAATTGAGGGGTTAACTCTTTACAGCCCGCACTGCTTACAGCCTGCTTTGGGCACAATCAATGCTGCGGTCTCCCACACTCACATCCTGGCAGGCAGGAAGCAGAGGGAGAAGAGAAGCCAGAGGAGGCAGACACACACTTCCAGGTCAGCCTCCAGTGACCTGCCTCTTCCAACCAGGCCCACTCCTAACAAGAAGCCAGCTGTTGGCCTCTATGATCCAGTCACCTTCCAAAAGCCCTGCCTAGGAGTGCACAAAGTTCTCAGAGGACATATAGGAGGACAAACTACAACAAGGTTCTGTCCTTCGGGTCCTTTCTTTGTGCATGGAGGGACGGGCCCATCCCACCTTATGCAATGGTAGAGATTCCATCGATGGCTTGCTTGTCCTTTGTCTTTCATTTGGGCTGGGCACTATTGCAGGATACTGGAAGGAGGGAGGGAAGTAAGATCATCGATTTAACATACAAATTTGAATACAAAGAAATTATACATAAGTATATATAAACATAATAAATGTAAAGCATGATTTAGTATTAGGAATACATGGAAACCAGAACGTTCTTACCCTCTATGAAAGCATAGGCAGAAAGATAAATTTGAGATGGACAATTCTTTGATGAACATAAAATAGGGATATTACTAGAGGATTTGGATGTTTAAAGTTAAATGTGGGACTAAAATACTCAATCTTTTGCATGGTGCTTGGACATTGCCAACATCTGCTTTGATATCTTTTTCTAATTCCACTACTGAGCAGCCCCTTTCC